ATTGTGAGCCTCACCTTTAACAGCTGAACATCTCTCCAGCTCAAAAATTGATATTTTCACCTCATTTTTAAATGAAGAAAATAATCCTGACCTCAAATGACTTGCTCAGAGGATCAGGCAAGTAAGGTTTCTGTCTCATGTCTGCTTTCCTGTATCTGTGCCTCCTAAACAATGACTTCCCTGACCTCACTTCCCATCAGTCTTCAGTTCTATTTCTGGCCCTATCACCCTACTTATATTCTTCTCACTAAGGTCATCAAATAACCTCCTAATTTTCAGATTTAAATGGGCTTGAGGTGACCCACTTTATGGGCCTTGCTCTATATTTCAATTACAAACTTCCTTTTTTTCAAAGTCTCTTATCTATAGACATGAAAAATTTTTAGACATTTTCATAAACATTTAAATCTCTTCTAATTTTTAGTTAAGCTTTTTTTACTCAATTATTTATCTAATTTTCAAAAGCATATTTGCTTTTTACTCACATTTTATTTATTGATTTTTTAAGTATGTCACTCACACTTTATTTATTGATTTTTTAAGTATGTTTTCACTTCACCATTTCACTTTGCAGTGGCTAAAAAGAAAATGTCCACTAAAATGAGTGGCACTACTAGGAGGCGTGACTTTGTTAGAGTAGGTGTGGCCTTGTTGGAAGAAGTGTGTCACTGTGGGGGTGGGCTTTGCAGTCCCCTATGTTCAAGCTACTCACAGTGTGACACTAAATTTACTTCCTGTTGCCTGTGATTCAAGATGTAGAACTCTCAGCCCCTTCTCCAGCATTATGTCTGCCTGCATGCCACCATGTCCCACCATGATGATAATGGACTAAACCTCTGAAACTTTAAGCCACCCCAATTAAATGTGTTTCTTTATAAGAGTTACCATGGTCATGGTGCCTCTTCACAGCAATAGAAACCCTAACTAGAATTTGGTACCAGACAAAAATTGGTACCAGAGACTGGAATATTGCTATGATAGGCCTGACCATGTTTTTGTTTAGACTATTATGGACTTTGGTACTTTGGATGAGGAGCATAGTGGAATGCTTTAAGCACTGCAAAAAAAAAAAAAAAAAAAGACAATGGTGCAGAAAATCATTTGAACTATGTGGGGCTGGCTTAAGAGGTTTCAGAGTTTCAGAGAAGAAGAATTTTAGTATGTTGCCTAGAAATTGTTCTTATAATATTTTGGTGAAAAATGTGGCTTTATTTTGCCCTTTTCAAAAAAGTCTGCCTAAGACTAAAGTGAACAGTTTTGGATTAATTCCACTGGCATAGGAAATTTCAAAACAGCCTAGTATTGACTCTGTCAAATGGTTATGAGTGGTCACTCTTATGAAGATTTGTAATGAAAAGGAGTAAAATCAGAAAGTAAAAATACAAAATGTATAATTTGAGGAGAAAAGGAGCACCAGAAGCTAAGTTCTGTCTTCAAAAAGCTAAACAGATTAAGAAATGGAATAAATGAACCAAAGGCTGAGGGGCCCCCAGCTGGATCAGGCCCTCTGAATAGGTGAGACAGTTGATTGGCTTGATCAGTTTGGGAGGCAACTATTCAGTGGGACCAAGTCCTGTGCTCATTGCATGAGTTGGCTGTTTGAAACCTGGAGCTTATGCAGGGACACTTGGCTCAGTCTGGGAGGAAGGGACTGGACCTGCCTGGACTGAGTCTACCAAGTTGATCACAGTCCTCGGGGGAGGATTTGCCCTGGAGGAGGTGGGAATGGGGCGTAGGCTAGGGGTAAGGGGAGGGGGTGGGAGGGGGAGAATAAGGGAACCTGTGGCTGATATGTAGAACTGAATGGTATTGTAAATTAAAATAAATAAAATTTAATAAATAAATAAATAAAAATAAAATTTTTTTAAAAAAGAAAGAAATGGAATAAATGGAGTAGTTACCTCAGAGTAAGATCCCACCCAGCTAAGTTTCCAACTTGTAAAAAGGAATTAAAGAAAATCTTAGAGCTGGGTGTGGTGGAGCATGCCTTTAATCTCAGCATGCCAGACATACTTCTAAAAACATATTTAGGATATACCAAACCACAAAATTTATATTAGTATTTTCAGAATATACTAAGTCAATAGGGAGCAAAATGTTTAATAGGAATGAAGTGAACATGAGCAACATCTTTATGGACTTTACAAACTGTTATGGGAGATAAGACTGCAAAACAGTAACAATGTATGCTGTATTTGGGCCATTTCAAAATTCTGTGTTAAAGAACTATTAGAATTGTACAGGGGGAGAGGGCACTCAAACACACTTCATGGGTTAGTATCTGAGCAAGGACTTCAGAGATGAATAGAATGTGAATTTAACAATTTTTGGGTTTTTTCCTATATCTTAGTGAAGCCCACTTTCATACAAAGCACTTCTCTAAAGAAATTAACAAGAAAGAAGCTTTAATTTCAAGTTATTTCCAATCTAATTAAGAAAAAAGAAAATCCATTATTAAAGGTTGAAAGAAATAATGGTAGAGATTTTCTTAAATCTCCCATCAAAGAAAATCACAAAAACAGAGGCGTGCTAACTCATCTCTAGGAATTAGTCCAGCTAAGGCTAAGCATCAATATCAAACAACATGGATGTGGGTTCTGGGAAGACATCATTCAAGAGAGCAACCAAGAGATCAGCAATGGATGAGTGGGCTGTTTGTGCTGAGTGGTAGTTCACAAGAGCTGAAGAAAAACAGTGCAAGATGAGACTAGATTAAGAGTCTAGACTATGGAAAGGGCAGAGGTCAGTGAAGAGTTGAAGTCATTCTTTAAGAATACTTCGTTTCATTCTGTGGCTATTATGTTGAACTGAATGGTGTTGTAAAATAATAATAATAATAATAATAATAATAATAATAAAATAAATAAATAAATAAAAAAAAAGAATACTTCGTTTCTGACTAACCAGTAATGCTAACTTACAGGCAGTTCCACATATGGATTCATTTTACTTTATAAGGAAGAGTAGAGATTTATTTTATTGACTACATTTCTAAATGAAAAAAATTAATGTTGCTAGTATCTAGCAACCCAGTCTTGGGATTTGTTGTCAAATTTTCACAAATTCCCACTACTATCTTAATTGCTGCTCCTGTCATTTTTTGTTACTTTATGTTTGTGAGTAACAGCTATCTTATTTTATGATCTATGTCATCACAGAAAATGAAACAGAAAAACAAATATCAGTTTCCTGACATCAGAATCCAGCACCAGTCTATAGCTTGTAACCATAATCTTTAATTACTAATCAACTAGGTTGGTCTCTACCTTTTGGTTTGGCACTTAAGTGACTTCATCTATCTAGGAAACAAATATTCCAAAGTATGAACTCACCATATACTTTGACCTCTCTAAATTTGATTACACAAAATCAGAATAACTGGCCAGTTCAAAGAAATTAATCTATTAACAGGAAAAGAAGAAATAAAACCTCCAAATTTCTTCATAAAAATGTTTCCTTTACATTTATTGTTATCATGCTACATATTCTTATCAAAGTGGCCACATTCAACTGTCTTCCCTGGCAACAGAAATCTATGACACTCCTTTTGCTTGTCTATCAATTTTTCTGAGGTGAGAAAGCAATATCCAAGTCTGTACTGCCTGTTGAAAACACCCTAAGTTACATTACTACGATACTTTGTTACAGTACCTCACTGAGAATACATTTTTAGAAAGTAATATTTTAGGGGCCAGAGAGATGGCTCAGTGGTTAACAGCACTGGCTGCTCCTGCAGAGAGCCTGAGTTAAATTCCCAACATTCACACAGTAGCTCACAAACATCTATAACTCCAGTTCCAGAAGATCCAGTGCTCTCTATTGCTTCCACGGGCAACAGGCATAGTACACAGACATATATTAAGGAAAAAAAAAACACCCATATCCATAAAAACTTTTTAAAGAATGAAAGAGATGTGTGTGTGAGGGGGGGGGGAGTTTTATATTTTAGATCCGAAATAGCAGTACTCCAGTGATCATCTTCCATTATTAAAAGGCAGTGGATTAAATTTCATGCTTGAAAGTAATAAAAATTACAACATCATGAATTAGGGAAGGCTGCAGGAATAGACGTGAGTGACAGCAAATGTGGAAGACCTACTCTACCATCTTGCTAAATCCTAATATCACAAAAGACCAATTCACAAAAAAAAAAAAAAAAAATGTCCCCTAAGCTACTTTATAATGCTTATAAGTGTTTGGCTTATAGAACCTAAATGGGATGTCTCGGAACCAGCTCGTTCTCCATTGTCAAACAGTGAGACCTCTCCCTGCAGCACCTTCAAAGTCAGCCTCCGTGTCCCTGGCCTTCTAGTCACACCTTGCATTTCAGAGGCACCTGGCATTTCAGTTATACTCAGTAGCCAGTCAACATCAGAATCTTCCCATGTCTTCCTTTAAATTCTCTTCCTATCTCTTTTGCCATCACAGAATGGGCTTCTCCTACCACACTTTTGGCTCTCCACTTTAGAGGATGCTTCTGTCTTGCTGATAAATTTCAGAGTGGGATATTCTCCCTAGCTTCACTGAAGTCAGTTCTGTCTTAGCATATTCCAGAACCACACAGATAGATACATGTGGGGAAATTATATCCCTTACATATTCTTATTTCCTGGCCTCTCCTTTCACTACTCTTCTGTTTCTTTAAAACTACTGCGTTTACTCCTAGGATACAACTAATGCTTCTTAGATATTTCATGTTTGAAACATGCTTCTTGAAGAACCCAGCCCTCAGCCTTCTCCAAAAATTGCTCAAAAGGAAAAGACAATATTTCCCCAAATCTACTCTAGCTAAATGTGTTACTTTTTGTCCAGTTGATTCACAGTATAATTTTCCATCTCATCAACTTCTCAATGCTTATTTACACTGTTATTAGTTGTGATCCTGAGATCTGAAGGTTTTAATATCGTTTTCATTGACTGTCATACACTCCTTAAACTGGAAAATGTTTGCAGACACCCACAACAAAAGATAATGAAAAGGACACTCCCACGAAACCTACCTGTCCATGCTTTTGCTGAGGGGCCATCCCATGAGGAATTTTGGGATATGTTGAGGCCTTGAGATCAACGTCACGTACTTTGGGACGCACCACATCAGAGGCCAGACTGGAAGAAATAGCCAGAGACTTGGGCCGGGTAGCTATGTTGCCGGTTCCCTCCAGGGTGCCTTGTTCACTTTGTCTGCTTGTAGCTTCATCTTCCCCATCAGAATCCACAATAAAAACATACTCTGCTTTGAAGAGGTCGCCTTTCTGCATTCCTTGTGGTTCGTTCGTATCAAATTTCTTTCCTTGTGAGTTCCTTCCACTGACCTCCGAGGGAAAAGCCAGTATCCTCTGGTCTCTCTCCTGTTGGCTGTCACAGCTGAAGGTCATGTGGCCACTGTACTCACACTGCAACAAATGTAGGGAGATAAAAATGCTGACTTGGAGGTAACAAAATGCATCTTTTTGTTAAAATATGCTAAAAAGTTTAAGTGACTCATTGAAAAGTTTTAAATACATCAAAATACCAGGCTTGCCTGAGAGAAATGGCCTGAAACACATGCTTCCTTTTATGAGCTCATCTGTTTGTACTGCCCCAAAGACTTAGAGTTCAGACTTAATATCAACAAGTAAAGCTTCCTGCTTCCCAGGAAATCATGAGGAAGGGAGAGCGGAAAGAAACCAGAATGGGCAGAGCAAGAAGGGTGATCAGTGAAGATAGTCACAAAGCAGCTGTCATGTGGACAGGACAAGGTTGTTAGCTAGTTATCAAACAACCAGCATATCCTTTACCAATAATGGTGTGTGGGGGTCCTATTAAAAAAAAATACCAAAATAAATTTCTAAGCTTTTGAAAGAAAAGGTAACCTTGACACAAAATACATCATTTATCAGAATAAATAATCCAAGCTAGTTGGAAGGAGCTCATGAGGAGGACTGTTTTTAAGATACAGGGACTGGAGAGACATGTGAGTGGGTAAAGTGACTGCTTTAGGAGTGTGAAGACTTGATTTCTGATCCTTAGCACCCACAAAAGAAAAGCTAAGTGGCATACACATGTCTATAACACCATCACTGCGGCTCAGGGGCTTGCTAAGCACCCAGTCGGCCACTCTAGCCAAAGCGGTGAGCTCCAGGTTCAGTGAGAGACCCTGTCTCAGAAGATGTGGCAGAAGAGCAACCGAGGAAGACACCCAGTGTCCACTTTGGGCCTAGACTCATGCCAACATCGACAAGATGTACATGCCCATGTATAAAGGAAGAGACAAATTTAATATAAAATGGGTTTCCTTTTCAGTACACTATTTCATTTTGAACTGTCATTTTTGAACTGGGACTTTTCAATATTTCAATACATTTTTCTATGAATATTCAGAATGTTTACGAGACCCAAATTGATATAGTTTTATCAAGCTATCAAATTTCTTTTTCTAAAATAACAGTCATGGACAGATGGTGCTTGAAAGACCCAATGCCAATTTCCTTGTTTTAATAACTATTCTATGACTGTTCTTTTTTTAAGCAACTTTTCTATAATGCTCAAATTAGTTCAAAAGAAAAAAGTAAGTCACTAAATCCTAACAAGTTCAACTATGGTGTTCAATTTAACATATGTTAACATGTATATGTAGCATGTTTAGAGACAGAGTCAAAAATTAATTAAATACAACTGAACTGAAGAGGTAATTTATAACACCAGACCATACTGTTTGGCTGCCCCTGATACTGATGCAGTCTAAACGACATGGGTAAAACTTGTCTGATGTGGCTTTCTCCATTCTCTCTTTGCTCTAATGTAGAGTCTTTCACAGCATCCACCACTACCTCAGGTTTCACCACACACTCTTTCTGTCTCTGCTCTCATTGTCTCCTCAGTAACTAGTGAGTCCTGTGAGATGTTATTAGCCACTTGGAATGTGTTACTAGATTGATCCTCTGAGCAAGATACTTGAGGTCATTATTATTTTCTTCATTTATAAGATGAGTTGAGACTATCAACTTTTGAGATTGAGAGATGGATCAGTCGTTAAAGGTTAGGCTTACAAACAAAACAACAAGATAATATTAACTTTCTTAAAGATGATAAATGTGATGATACACACACACACACACACATACATACACGTACAAAAAGAGAGAGAACTTGGAACTATGGAACTGTGTCTGGCTAGCGTAAGCTCTTGACACATGACTTATTTAATAAGGTTGAGATAGCAACATGTTTGGGGACACATAATAAGAGACATAATTGTTCAAATATATACATTATATATACATATGTATATGCATACATATGGTAGTCCTGGAGATGCAACCCACGTAGCTCAGGCTAAGCTCATGTTCCACTGTAGAGCTAAACCCTCAGCCCTCAGAAGCATATTTTTAATCATCCTTAGATTTCACGATCATCTTACTTTAAACAGAGGAAATACACATTGATGAAAATTTCCAAGTCGTTATTATAGATAATTTTAGACTGTAATTCAAAAATTTTAAAGAAGAAAAGTAATCCTACCCTATTTACTCTTTCTGGACTCTTATCACTTGGTTCCTCAGGAATTTTAACAAGGAATTTGGAAGTGTCAGCCAACTGAATGTGGGTTGGCAGTCTTCTGACAGTGGGGACAAATGTGAAGATCAGAGGTTTGGCTTCAGAATCTCCAGGAGAGACCTATGAGATATGCAAGAAATTAGACTTTCAGCCTTGTCAAGGGTTTGTCTTGACTTTATTCTTCATGTTTCGTATCTATCTCATTCACTTTGATAAGCTGCCTGCTGTCCTGTATTGATGCCAATAAAATCTACATAAAAATATTCATACTGCATGAGGACCCCCTTTAAAACTCCCATAGCAAGGAAAGCAGTCTGTCCTGGGGGCGGGGGAGTAGCACAAAGCAGCAACCTGGAAAGCCATTCATCAGACAATAGCTAAGTCCCTACTATGTGCAGAGAGGTCATTCCAAACACACAACCTGGCCTGCTTCAAATGTGTCATCTATCCATTTAGCCTTAAGGTAATAGGCTTGGATTATGGACTTATGACCAACAAACATGCAAGAAAATTCCAATATGCATATTCATGCTAAAGTGTGGACTTAAGGTGAAAGATGTCTATCAGATCATCAGCTCCTGCACTACAGGATGTGCCTTCTTATTCATTTATACTTAATTTACTTAAAAGTAATTTCATTAAGTGCTTGCTTTGTGATCCCAGGAGGAAAAGCAGTAATAGTGAATAGGAAACAGTCAGCAGACTACTCACAAATAGAAACGGATATGCACACAGTGCTAAAGGACCTGTGTTTCCAGATCCCTGAATCTCACACCTATCCCCACACCTCATACCCCCCCAAACACACATATCTGTTCTCCTCCATGCTCTTCAGTTCTACTGTGATGCTGCTGTCACAGTTGGCACTCACCTGGGTACGATGCCTTATTCTTGCTTATTCCACAAAGTCTAATCAACTTCAGGGACTAGCAATTTAACAATGAACAAAAATACCTACTGCCATGAATTTAACCAGCGGAGGGAGGAGAGCAGTAATAAATAAATGTGCAAAATATATAGTATTTCCCTGAGTGCTATGAAGATTTCTTATCAGGCTTCATAGAAGCCCATGAAGAAGAAAACAGTGGGTCAAACTTGGGTTCATACTGATAGTGATAATGATAGGAAGAGTTAAATCCTAGAGTTTTTTTTTTTTTTTTTTAGGAAAATATCTAATTGGCAGTGAAAGATAAGAGAAAGGCAAGATTTAAAATGACTATAAAATGTTTTATCTGAATAACTACAAGAAATAATAATCCTTTCACTAAAATAAGGAACCAAATAGGTCTAAGTAGTTTGAGGATAGAGTTCAAAACCAAAGGGATGCCTCAATGGTCAAGAGAACATACTGCTCTTGCGGAGAGGATCTGAGTTCAGATTCGAAGTTCACAACCACCTGGAACTCCAAGTCCAGGGGAATCAACACCCTCATCTAAACTCCAAGGCACCAGTGCTCACACTTGCACAGACCACACAGGCAAATAGACATATAGACATCTTTTCTTTAAAAAAAAATTTCAGGATTTGGTGAAAAGATTGAGAAATGCTTAAGAATGCCTGGAAAGAGCCACTCAGTCATAATTTGGGGAGGCTGGCAATCTAACCATCCTAAAGGAAAACCAGGCCTACCTTGCCTTCTGTGAAACCACTGTTTGTGTGAACCGGATCTCATTTTCAGCAGAAGGCTAGGTGCCATCTAAATTCCTGCCATGCACCAATTCTGACACTTGGTTTTCAACACATGTGGGTTAAAGGGAAACTACATAAGCATTTGAACCTTCAGTATTAACTGTGCATGTGCTCTATTTTGACCATTTTTAAACGCCATATTTTACTCTAAAAAAGTAAGAAGTGTTCCCACAAAAATAATAGTATAGAAATTCTGGATGACTACGAAGTCTGGACCTTGATCTTGAGAAGATGATCTGAGAGCCACAGTGACAGTGGATGACTTCATACCCCAATCACCAGTAAAAAGGTCTCTATTCTTTCTTTTCTCCTTACTTCATTCACTCCTTTCTTTTTTTTTTTTGAGAGAAAGTTGATGAAGTTGTGTGGGTTGGAAGGGGAGTTGTCTGGTAGAATTTGGGGAGGGGAAATAATATGAACAAAATATAAACTAGAACTTAATATTCGCCATTAACCCATAAGATAGCCAGGCAGAGTTCACAAGCAGTAGCTCATCATCAGAAAGTAGTAAGTCACTTTTTTCCTTAGTGGGAATAAAGGTTAGACCTCTTATAAGGCTAGGAAAAGCCATTAGGCTGATCAACAACACATAATGCTCCAGACTTTCTAGATTATTCTAGGAAGGGTTAGTTACATATCTAATCTTGTCATCGACCTTCTGAGATGGAGAGTGGTTGGGAAAGGGATATCTCTGAGGATATTCAGAGGTTGAACTTTGTTATCAATTTGATAGGATTTTGAAATCTTTTAGGAGACACACCGCTGGTGTGTCTATGAAAGTGCCTCCAGAAAGGCTTGACTGATAGGGAAGGATGCACCTGAGTGGGCAGCAGCATCCAGTGGACTGGGGTTCCAAACAGAAGGAAAGATAAAGAAGCCAGATCAGCAGCAGCATCCATTTCCTTCTGCTTCCTGAATGAGGGTACAGTTTAACAGGCCGACTCACACTCCGGCTGCTGTGCCTTTGAGAGCATGTTGAGCTACACATTCAAACCACAAGCCAGAATAAACCCTTCCTTTCTTACATTGTTTTTTGTCGAGTATTTGTCTACAACAATGGGGGGGGGAGAAGGTAGCTATAGTAATTCAAACAATCATCCTATTTTCTCATTTGGACAAAATGGTAATTTGGTAGGAATCAAGAAAGGAGTGACCGTATGTCCAGGTGCTTAGACCTGCCCTCATTTTCCTATGAAATGTGTTGGTCTACCTGAAGTCTATCCAAAAGAAAATAAATAGTTCTATATGAAAGACTTCAGTGTAAATACCCCAGGGTTACAAACCCATAGATAATTAATGAACGGCAAGTAGCCATACCTTCTAAAGCATGTACAGTGATCAAAACTTACTTCTCCAAATGCCTTACACAACTGACCAGTTCAATTAGTCTTATCTCTAAAGTAAAAAATTCTACAAGTGATACTTCACAGCCTATAGACTTTTTAAAAGTTGGAAACTATAATTTTAGTAAATAAAACAAGAACCAAGTATAAAGAGGAGCCAGTGCAAGAATCAACAGGATGGGCTCTTACCAGAGTACCACAGAAAATTTCTAAATGTGACTGCATGATGAAGAAGGAGGTTGTCTTCAATTTTATCATTACTTTCTCCCCATGGGAACCTCTGAACCTCACATAAAATGTTTTCACCAATGTAAGAAAACAATTCCACTTCCTTATTTTAGTTAAAAAATAAATGATGTTTCAAATACATATATAGAAAGAGATATATACCTATATATGAGAGACTATATCTATACGATTATGTATTATATATATATATATATATATATATATATATATATATATATATATATATGATTAAAGGCTTATCTCCCTGGGAACTAAATTCAGGGATTAATTCCTGTCCCTATACACATTCCCAGAACATCAGGAAAGGGCGACCCTTTGTTATTTACTTTCAAGGAAGCAAAGCAAAATTAGCACAAGCCTCCTTTCATCATCTTTATCTATCACCGGTATCTTACCAAAAATCTAAGGTTCACTTGAAAAGACACTGCTGATTCCCTTGTTCGGTTGAGAAAAAGCCATTTACCATTTACTGCATACTGTGTGGCAGATCCAACGGAGCCCCAAAATGAATCGCTATGGTGACGAAAAATCATTTTCCAACAAAGCAGAAGCAGATGCGAGCTAATGGCATTCACTTCTTAATTGCCAATTAACACTTTCAGCTGCCAATGCCAGTTAAACATCTTATCACTGGGAAACTATTTTAATGACAGAAACAAGAACTAAACGGATTAAAATAGTATCCTAAATTTGGCTTGAAATACCCCAAATCTGTAAGACTGACCCCTTCTCACCACACAGGCTAGCAATGTGAGAAACTGTCTTACAGGCTGCATGCTCCTTTGCTCAGCTTGGGGCTGTGCGCTTTTGTTTCTTCTATTTCCCTAAAAGTTCTCTCCCATTCACAGCCCCATATTGACACCCGCAGCACAGAGGGCCACTAGCCTCTTACTAAGAAAAGGGGTTGCGAGCATTCTAGCACTACGCCAAGCGCATCCTTAGCATCCAATGAACAGTTTTGTCTTCATCGGTTGCCGGTTTCTCTAACTGTAGATAACATCTCATTTCGATACACAGACAAACTGATCAGCACCCAGGTAGCTTACCCTCATACCCTCTGGCATATACCAGGAACACGGTGCCTTTAAAAGTTACTGAAAGCATTAAGCAAAGACTTCCTTTTACCTTGGGTGAGGTCTCAATGCTCTCCGCTAAGATGCAGGAGGTCATTTGGAAGTAATTGTTCCCGCAGTCACTCAGAAGCCCCTGTACTGGAAGCATTGATTCATCACATAAGGGAGTGAGCAAACCAACGACTGAGGTGGGAAGAGAGCCTGTTACTAAAACAACACAGGCACACGCACGCGCGCATATACACACACACACACACACACACACACACACACACACACACACACTCGCATGCACCCACATGAATATGCACACATACATATGAACCCACATGCATATGCACACATGCACGCACGCGTGCGCGCGCGCGCGCGCACACACACACACACACACACACAGGTGGGGGGGGCAGAATCTAAAAGGAGAAGCAGATTCTTCGCTGCGTTGGATATTTTTCATCTCCAAAGATTTGTTTTGACAATTTTTACATTTGGAACTTCACAAGAGGTCACACTGACTGCTAAAATGGGATCAGTGGAAGTGAAAAATTGCCACCTATATATGTGCTTGCCCTCCTTTCCTCTCATGCATGCAGTCCAATTATGTATTCTGGGAAAGGAAGGGAGAAGCCAGATTGTACAGCAATGAGAAGCTGATTGAAAGGCCCTGGCATCTGCCAGTCTCGGTGATCAGTTGGCCACACTTGCAGAGAACATTCAGAGGCACAAACACGCGCAAACACAGTATCTAAATAAAGAACTGGAAACC